TTCCCTTGGGCTAACCTTGCCAGCAAGGGCTCCTCTTCCAAATGCCAAATCCCCAGCAGCAAAGGGAGGGAAGCATTTTTCAGTGATAATCAGAAAAGCACTGAACATAGAGGCTGCGGTGGGGGAGGCAACGGAAGATGAAAAATGGGAACGAGATAGGAGAGGAGAGGATGAGAGACCCTGAATCGCCTACGGCGCTAATGGCAACAGTGAGGCCACGTGTGCACGTAATCACCTACTTAAATCAATATGGCCATTTTATTATAGTCTAAGAGCCAGGACTGAGGGCAGGCACAGACGGTGTGAGAGCACTTGGCAAGGACAGAGAAGGAGACCTGACCCAACCCTACCCCGGATGGTCTGTCCGCAGCCCAGAAACAAAACTCCCTCCGCCGCACGTGGCCCGTTAGCGCTGGGACTCGGAGCCACGCCGCACGGGGTGTGTTCCAGCGCCCCCGCCCATCGCCACCTGGAAGTGGGGACGCAGCACCTCATCTGCAAAATGGGGGCCATGACGGTACCCACCTCAGAGGTCTGAGGATCAAACGCAGTAATACATGTCAGGTGCCCAGCACCATGCCTGGCACCCGGGCAGTCCCCAGTAGCGCCTGGCCACGGGCACCACCCGTCCGCATCCGAGCCAAGTCTCGCCCCTCTGCGGAAGCGCCTTTGACTTCTGCACTAGGTAGGCGCTCAGAACACTCACCATCTGTATCACCCAGTTTGTTCCCTAATTATGCACTGCCTTGAAACAATCAGAGAACTCAATACGGCATAATAAAGAGCTCAGCTGAATTCAGTCAAGTTCTTTCCATCTCTGAAGCATGACAATTCCATATCCCACATTGTCCAGTATATGCTAGACCTCAACCCAGAGAGAAGGGCTCTGGCTTTTTTTTTTTAATTTTTTTCTTTTAGGGAAGGAAATGATTATGTTTTTACTAATTTTCTCTAACGGAGCTTCTGGGGATTGAACTCAGGACCTCATGCATGCTAAGCACGCATTTTACCATCAAGCTACCCCCAGCTCTGGCTTTGACGCTCACTCAGCCCGCTCTTCTGCTGAGCAAAGAGGCTCTTGGGTCACTGGCTTGAGGCCCCGTCTTTACTCCTGTGTTTGGTGCTACCCTTCCACGTGGAGAGTCCCCCGCACCCCAACCAGAAGCCCAGCAGCACAGGGGAACGCTGTCCCAGGGACAGGCTGCTCAGGCAGGAGGCAGTCTGGGCCAGCTCGGCCCTAGACTTCAGAGAGAAGTGTTTCTTGAGCTGTCTTTGCAAACTACCTCCTGCCATCACATCCCAGACCCGAAGGGCCAAGGCTGTGTGGAACCTGGGAGAAAGGGCCGATGAGGCCAGCCAGCCAGCCCATCTGTGGACGTGTGTGAAGCTGGAGAGTCCGGAGAGCCCTGAAGCTGCATGCACAGGCGGTCCAGCCCAGTTCTCCAGGGCGGGAGGCTCCTGGGGGATGGGGGATGCCCGAGCAAACACAGAGGGGCTCATGTGAACTTGCTGGAAGGTTCTCGGGTGTGTAATGATAGAAACAGCCCCTCCGTGCAGACACATCTCACAGAAGGTAGAGTTAAAGGGGCTATCGGGGAAGGCTTCAAGTAGGAGGCGGGGTGAGCAGTGGATACTGGCGGGAGGATAAGGACTTGGATGTGGAGCAGCATCCAGTTGGCAGAAGCTGAATGAGCCGTGGCTACAAGCCAGGCTGACAGCACCTGGGGGACCCCTGCCTCAGCTGCCCTCAGCCCCTGTGGCTGGGGAGCCTTTCTCTGGGATGTCTTGAGGCAGCGGAGGCGATGCTGCCTGCCCACTTCGCAGGACAGAGCCCACCACGGGTGCTGTGCCTCCCTTGCCCTCCAGGCGGCGGGGGGGGGGGGTCGAAAGCAGTGAGTTGGTAGGAGAAGCGCTCCTGCCCCACATCCCCTGCCCAGCATGGACACTTCCAGAATTGCCAGGCTCGGTGGCAGGAGGAGGGGCGGTCAGTTACTGCAGAGGTCTATCACCCACCTCACTGCCATCCGTTTCTCTACATCCCCTCCCACTTCAGTCTCCCCTTTTCCAGCCTGCCACCCAGAACCCTCAGACTACCTTACTGCCTGCCCTTTTCAAGAGAAAACATTTGCTGATCATTCCATGCTGTGAATGAGTTTATGATTTCAAAGTGTTTCTCCGTCCCAGGGATTAATCTTCAAAGACAGAGCCAGGAGAAAAGAAGGCTTAATCCAAAGGAATAAATCTCTAAGGGACACTGACACTTAAGTTTGCTTTCTTACCAATAGTCTTTACTATGTCCCTGCTTAATTAATTAGGTTTACTTTTAATAGAGGTACTGGGGATTGAACTCAGGACCTTGTGCATGCTAAGCAGGCATTCCAACACTGAGCTGTATCCTCCCCGCCCTTAATTCATTCTCTTGTTCAGTTAACATTCACTGAGCAGGTGCCATCCTGGGCGCCGGAAATTCAAAGACGGAAAAAAAGCACACTCACCGTCTAGGTGGGGAGACAGAAACAACAACACACAATCTGAACATGATGAGAAGAGTCTCCAAAGACATTCCTGCTCATTCATAGCGCCCACTTCAACAGGAGCATTTGCTGATTAACCATTACTCCTACCTGCTCACTAAAGGACGCTAATTGGACGACACTTTCAGACCTAGCCTGAAATTAGCAAAGCTCCATGTCTGTGTATTTTATAACTCACACACTTTCCAATTCAGCCTGGACCTCCCCCAGCTCACGTCCAAAGACCTGACCACAGCCTTTATGAGCACCATCTAGCCTGGATTTTCTTTGTAGTCCCATTTGGAGTGTTCCAGACCCATCATTTATTTGCACTTTCTCCAAGTGCTCCTGGCTGAATACACAATTATGAGTCATCGCTTTTTTGGCCCCTCTTTATCCTGTTATGTATGGTACCTCCTGACTTCCTTCCAACAGTGTTAATAATAAATGATGTCAAGTTGACCACACTTCAACACACCACACAGCTATAGATAGCAAAACATGGCATGCGCTGAATTATTCAGTCAGTGAATAATACCACAAAGCTCACCCTGTATTCCAGGCACGGAGACCAGTCGGTTGGGATGATGCACTTTCATTCTGCAGAGCCCTTTCCATGTGTCATTAGGTCCTCCCCCAAGCCCTGTGCATCCGTTACCAGGAGGCGTCCTGACCATTTTAAAGATGGCAGCAGCTGCCCCCACGCCAAAGAAAAGACTCTCCAACATACAGGTCAGTTCTGATCACGTTATGCATTATTTCCCACGTGTGGGAAATACATGTTGTGTTTTCTCACATATGTGGGGATCTGAGTTGGAAGCGTTCCAGGAGCACATGGCAGGTGTGGTCAGCCCACTTATTCCTTGCCCAAGGGAGCTCTTGGTCAAATGGTGGCTCTTGGAAGGAAAGCAACTCAGGTGGTGGTGATGCTGCAGAAAGGGCCCCAGACAGAGGTCAGCGGGTCTCTGACCCTGAGGGCTCCCAGGAAGCAGGGAAGGGGAGGCTGGCCTGAGTCACCGAGAGAGGGAGACAGAATACAGGGAAAGGGAGACGAGAGGAAGGAAACAGGGACTGAGACGGAAGGGTGGACCAAGAAAGGGTGGCAGAAAGAAAGGCAGAGGAGGGAACAGGTAGGTCGAGAGAGGAAGAGAAACTAGTGAGAAAACTGCAGGAAAAGGATGAAGAGACAAAAGCTGCTGGCAGGACGAAAGTGAAAAAGAGATTTCATGCAGCGATCTCAGCCCCTGCCCAGGAGATCTGCCCAGAACGGCCCAGAATAGCCTCCCGGGGCCGGTCCTGTCTCACTCAGTTGATCAGCATTTTCTAGCCTAAACCTCTCAGTGGGCCCTTCAGGGAAACCTTCCCAGGGAGACAGACGCCTGCAGACTTACCTAGACCCCGTGCCACCCAAGTGGGCGGGTCACACCTCAGAAGGGCCGACACCGGAGACTCGACATACGGAACAGACAGCTCTGGACTTGTCACTCGCACTGGGTGACATCCCAGGGGCCAGGCGGCTGGCCAGGGCTCCCACTACACATATTTGGAAAGAACTGGGCTCCTAAAAAGCCAGAATAAGGCCCCGATCCCAGGCCACGGCCCGCGGCCACCCCCCGTGGCCACCCCCACACCCCAAGGCCTGTCTGTGGACCCCTCCCCAACTGGCTTCTGACACTGGAGCCACATCTTTTCTTTTTCAAAGCACTGAACAAAATCACACATACTGAGGTCCCTGAAAAGCATCCTGCTTCTCTTCTGCGGGGTCAATTTGATGTTTTGGTGTCAAAATTAAGAGCAACGAAACTCATACCTCCTTCCCAGGGAAATCGATCTGAGCGTAGCCTGTACTGAGAAACGCAAAATTAAGGACCAGAAAAACTTAGCCCCAGGAAACCCTTAGCTGGCAGGTCCCAGCCTTAGCCAGCCCCAAGGAGAGAGAGCATGCCGCCTTGTCCGAAAAAAATTCCCACAGTGCCTGCCCCCACCCCACCTCGGCCCCCCACAATGAGTGTGCCCCAGCTGAGAACATCCCATTTTCACCCGTTCTACAACTATTTCTTGAACTCCTACTCTTGACTATACTGAGTGCCCTTAATTACTGATTTTAGTTCCAAACACTACAGCAAATCAAGAAATATCCACGTGATGGTATGAGTGCCAAATCTCAGCACTGTATCTTGATGAAAGGTTCTTCCCCAGCCAAGGTCAGCCTCGCCTGTGGGCAGAGGAGGGGCGGCCTGCGCAGTGGGAATTCAGAGAAGCAGGGAGCCCACGGCCCTCACCCACCACCCTGATGCCACCTTCTACACACCCACATACATCTGCGGGCTGATACCCAAAACCCTTCCGGCAGGGATGGAATGGGCCACTGAGGGCAGCTTCTCTGAGGGCAGCTGCGGTGGGGGGACGGGGGCAGCGGGGGGCAGGGGCTGCGGGGTCACCCTGGGATGAACGTCCCCCTCCCTGGTCGTTAGCCGGGGTCTGTACCTGAAGCTGGTGTCACTGCCGCTCTGCACTGCTGGGTCATCCGTGACATTAAAGAGCCCCGTCCAATTGGCCAGCTGGTCGCCACTCTGCCAACCAAACTGGAGGCCTCTGGCAAGAGAACGAGGCAGTCGGTACTCACGCTCACGTGCTGGGTAAGCCTGTCACCAGAGAAAACATTCTGGTGTGTGCCAAGTGACACATCGCCTTTAGTGGAGACGAGAGTGAGGTCCAACCAGAAGGAAGACGATAACAAACCAAGGCGCTCTCCAGTCTTCTCTGCTCATCTACATCAGTGCCCCTTTTCACCTTTGCCAGGGCGGGGTCACCCATCGTGCACGCAGGGAAACTGAGGCTTGGCGAGATCAAGGTCACTGAGCTCTCTGACCCCCTAGCTGGTGTTCCCTCAATTCCCACCTCTGGACACTCACACCGGAAGAGCTCTAGCTCGCCATCACTGCGCCGTCCTCCGAGGTCAGACACACGGCGACGTTTTAATGAGATCTAGTTTTCCATCACGTAAGGACACTCCTCCTGGTTTACAATGATGGACTCAACACACGTGGTTCTTTCCGCTCCCTCCCCGAAACCGGACTGAAATAGCAGCAAAGGCATAAATAAGGGTCGGAGCATGAGGAGGAGGCACAGAAGGGGGGCAGCGGGAACATTTTGGAAGATGAAAAGCAGATGGGTAATTAATTGCCTTAGACTAGAGAAGGTAGAATACTAATTGCCTGTAAGAAGCAAATCTATTCTCCAGGCACTACTCGGGAATTCGTGGTGCCAGGGGCCACTGAAGGTGGGACTGCAGGCAGGAGGATTGCTTTCGGTTTGTATGCAGAGCATCAGACACGCCCACCTCCACACACCCAAGCCCCCTTCCTTGAGCCCAAGCAGTCTGGGCCCTCCCTCTGCCCACCGTCAGATGTCAGGAGGCTTGCTCTCGGGGAAGCTGACCCAGAGAAACTGCACTGTCGTCCTCATACGTGGAGACACTAGACTGCAAACCACTGGGCTGACCTGAAAGTTGGCCTACTGAGCATGCCTGGTCCCAGCCACCCGACCCCATGGAGGGAAACTGACCAGCTCAAAAGAGGAAAAGGCGGGGGGCTGCCCCATCACCCAGGCACGGGCTTTCTCAACCTGTGGCCAGTGACACTTGGAGCTGCACGTTCCTTGTTGTGGGGCTGTCCTGTGCACCCAGGGTTTCACAGCACCCCTGGTCTCTCATCTCTGATGCCAGCCCCACCTCATCCCCCACCCCCTTGCTGTGATGACACAAAATGACCCAGCCACTGCCAAGTGTCCTCTGGGGGGAATCGCCCCAGGTGAGAACCACAGCCCACCACACACAGCTCCAGTGCACCGTCTAGAGACGGGCTTGCCCTTAAATGTGAGTGTTAAACGGCTGTTAAAGACCCCGGCAGGTTCAGTAGGCTTTAACTTGAAAGCAGACAATAAAACAAACAAAAATAAAACAATTAAACCCCTAAAAGTCCTTTAATTAAGTCCTTTTAATAAACAGCCTCTACGCTAAGGGAACGGGGCAGCGACAGCTGGTGAAGCCAGGGCCCACCCAGATCAGCCACTAGGGAGGTGAGGGGCCTCAGTGATGCCCCCACATCCCTGCAGGCCTCTACTCCCACCTTTCAAGTCAGGAGAACTGTCTCAATGTCTCCAAAGTTCTTGATTCGAAATGTCACCAGGCTGAGCTGTGTCCCCGTTGTAAAGTTCAGAAATATCTCCTGCCTGCGAGTCAGCCCCGTTTCTAGCCAGATGCTGGGCAGAGGAGGCCCTCGGGGCCCCGCAAGCAGAAGGCCGAATGCGAGGTGCTCAAGGAGGCTTTGTTGGTGACTCTGATGCTCTTCTGCTCTCCAGCCTCCAGGGCACAGCGGAGCTCCCCCGGGAGAGGAAGCAGGCACCACTCACAGGACGGAGCTTGAAGCCACAGCAAAATGCCCGTCCATTTCTTAGTGCATTTAAGGGACAGCAGCGTTCCACCTTGTCCCGGCTCAAGTCTTTATATGTTTATCTATCTATAATATAAACATTACATACTTATATAAATCTATCATCTATGTATTGATAAATATATTGTATACATCTATAATATAAATACATTTATTTATTTACTTACCTGTTTACTTTATTTGAAGGGGTTACAGTTCATTTCAAAGAGACATTACGAGGCAATATTGCAAGGTATTTCTCAGAGAGAATTTGTTGGTTTACTAGGAAGGGAAACATTTATTGAGCACTGACCATGAACCAGGCCCACTGCATACGGGATCTTGAGTCCAGCTACAGCCTAATGTGGGAAGTCTCATTATCTGCCCTCATAGTCGATGAAATGTGCAGCTCAGAGAGGTTTGGTAACTTGTCCAAGGCCACAAGGCTAACAAGCGGCCAACCCAAGATTTAAACCCGGCGCCTTTTGACTCTAAAAAACTTTCTTCCTAAAGGCCTATACCAGGCTGTCTAGAGGCCAAGAAAACAATCATATTTCCACCCAGGATTTTGCAAATTAGCTGGTTCACAAGCATATTCAAGCAATTCCCAGCCCAGCAGCCAGTTATGAAACTCACAGGCTTCTTAGAAAGAGTCTGGCCAGCGAGAGTCTCATCCACCAAGTACACGGAGGGTCAGCTGGCAGCACCGCCACTCCCCCACCTAGACTGGCCCCCGTGAGACCCCAGGCGTCCCTTCACAAGACAGTCCCTCCCAAGGCTGCAGAAGTAAGAGATCACTAAGAAAACATCAATTACAATACTTCAGCGGGACCTATGTCACAGAAAGATGTGCACAGTAAATTAAGTGAAAAATACAAGTGAAAAAGGGGGATATTCATTAAGAATCCCATTTTTGTGTGGTTTTAAAGCATAAAGCCAGTTATCTCTCAAAGGTGGGATTCAGGTTTATTCCTTCTTTCAGTTTAGAAACATCTGCTAATTTATCTCCAAAAAAACCTGATGGCATAATTTTCAAACCCAATATATTTTATACAGTAATTTAAATTCTGTTCCTGACCTAAGTATAGGAATTGTCCATTACTACCCAATGAAACACCAGTGAGAAAAAGGGGTGTGGAGATATGAAAAAGGATAACAAAGGAAAAAGAAGCTTTATTCACTCGTTCATTTATTCAGCAAACATCTGTTGAGCATCTACTATGTGCCATGAAAATATTGGCAAACAAGACAGAAAATATTAGCAGTCAAGTGCTTAAAAGGGTGCTCTATTTTGTCTGTCTATTTTATTTTATTTTTAATTTATTTCGAAAGGGAGGAAAAGATTTGAAATACATATGGTGGAATGGTAACATCTGTTAACATTGATAATTCTCAGTCATGGCTACATGGCTGTCACACTGCGGCCGAAACTCGAGAGCAAAGGCAACTCTGCGGGGAGGCAGACAGCGAATGGAATGAGTGAAGCGAGGGCAGCAGGACTGACAGTATCTGTCCCGCCTGCCCGGGTAGGTGCCCTGAGCCCCGGCCTGCTGCTGCCACCTGGGAACATGGGCCATGTGTTGCCACTTTGTTCATTTTTCCAAGAGATGCTACAAATGCATTAATTTCCCAATCTGTAAATGCTGTGCATACCAAATGCAACCTGGGGACCTCCACTGGCAACTCCTGACTTACATCCTCTTGCTCGACCCTGATCCTAGCCCTAAGGGGTAGACAGTGTGCAACAGCCATCAAGGCTGAGGAAACCAAGGCAGAGAAGGGGAAGTTACCTCTCAGCCAGCTGGAGGCAAAGCTGGGCCCGGGAGCCAGGAGTCCTGACTCCCAGGTCAGTCTTCTTGCCATCAAAGTGCTGGATCCTCTCCCAGGAGTCAGCCCAGCCTGGGTCCTCCATCCTGGGGGCTGGGTCAGTGACCCTCAGACCTGCTCGCCGTCACAAGAGGCACCCACAGAGGAAGCCCAGGGGAGGGTGGTTCCCGAGCCCTGCCTGTAACGGCTCTTTCCCTCCCCCTGGACCAAGCATGTATTAGGGATGCCAATGGCTGAGCCACTAGTATTACAAGATAACCCTGAGTCGGCTCTATCTGAGGGGAAAAAGAAAAGAAGAAAATCACTCACAAGGCATCAGGACCTAACTTTGGTGGGAGGGCAACCTACTGAATTTGTATTTGCCCTCCTCCATCCCAAGAAGGTAACTTGGCTTTTTCAACCTCTTACTTTAGGGCCATGTGGGTTGTGGGCGCTGAAAGCTTCCCAGCTCACTGAAGCAACTGTGTGAGGCCAACTCGGGCGGAGGGAGGGCCTTCAGGTCTGGGGACGGGCGGGTGGGTGGGAGTAGCGAGGCCATGGCTGAGCAGAAGACTCCTCGAGTCCAGGAGACCTACTATGGCGGTTTGGGGTTCTTCCCAACGTCCCCCTCCAAGTCACCAGGGCCTCAGAAAGACTCCTGCCTGGGGCACCTCAGGAGGCTGGACCCAGGGCTCCAGAAGCCTCCAGAAAGCAGAAAGTGGACTGGCCGAGGCCAGGGTGGCTCGGGGAGACCCCCCAACTATTTCGGTCCACACAAGCCTTCAGGAACCTCATATGACCTTGTAGGGGATGGAAGGAAGGCACCTTCATTAAAAGAAAATGAGGAAATGAACCATATCTTTCACATGCAAGCTGGTAAAAGAAAACGTCTAATCACCCTTCCATCATGAGTCAGCAGATCACTTATGTTGCACCTCAAAGCTAGCAGGATAGCTCTCCTTTATCCATTGTATATGTATAGATATCAAATATTTCTCTTATTATTCTGTATTTATTGAACAGCCGTGCCAGGCTGGGTGCTGGGGTCCCTCAGTGAACAAGGCCCCACTCCAGTGACACAATTTGGACTAAGGAGACAGAAAAGCTAACAGGAGATGTAACAATGCGTCAGATGGTGAAAGGTGCTGTGAAAAAAACAACGGGCAGTAAGGAGGGCAGTAAGTTGAGGGGTGAGGAGCTGCTTCACACAGGTGGTCGTCTCTCTGAGAAGGTGACATCTGAGCAGGACATGAAGTAGGTGACAAGGGAGCAGGTGGATCTGGGAAAGATTGGCCCAGAAGAGGGCTGGCCCCGGCAGTGAGCGGCCTGAGGCATGAGTACCATGGCTTGTTCTGG